ACGTATGTATACTTAACTGTTTGTTCCTTACCAGGTTCTCCTCCATTGTGTCAGGTTGACTGCAATTAATGAGCTCTACCTCTTCAATTGCCAGCTGGCCATCACTGAGGGACTCCAAAATCATCACCCTCATCAGTCCCTCGATCAAACAGACACATCTCCAACTGCACCACCTCCAAAACAGTCCAAGTGGACTTCCCAAGTTGGCATTGGTCATGTATTTACCCAAAAGGGGGGCTCTTTGCGCTGGCGACTGGGTTACGACCCTTAGGCTACGCGCCCACGGTTCGTCAGAGGAACCTGGGGCCCCGCGTAAAAATTCTAGCTGTCGCGTGTCCCCCATTCCAGTGGGTCACGAAAACTTGGAGGAGCAAGTATGGGTACTTCGATAGCGCCTGTGTTTAGTGTGTGCTTGGGGTATTGGTACGTACACTATCAGGTTCTAGATTTCTCCAATTCTGGCGGAGGGAGTTTGTTTACCCTGCACCATTGAATTTTCGTACAGTTCAGGTCGCGAAATGAGGCTATCTCGAGTTTGCCTGGGCCTACTGTTGGAGCAGTAGCAACGTTGATATTGTCTTGCCAAGTTTATAGAAAGAATTGTTCAAAAGTATAGGGGGACAATGAAAAGACTTGACGCAACGCAAACCATGAAAAGAGTGCCTAATTTCGGTCATGATTGATGAGATTTGTGGGTTCGGATCACAGCTAGTTTGTGGTTCCAAGACCAGTTCACTGCCACCTACATATGTGGACAAAACCAACATCAAGTCTAGTCACGAGAGAAACTACATTATACTCATTTTACTATAAACAGGAAGTGCTGGGCATTGCCAAGTCGTACGAATTCCAACGCGACGCGATGAGATAATAGCATACCTCAAACGGCAATGAATCTACGGTAAGATCACTGTAGATCTTGTAGAATTAGAAACTGATAGAACGAAAATGTGTGTTGAAAGAGACTGCCAAATGGTTTGCCATTCGAAGGCGTTGTAACAAAATCAGTTCAACGCGTGGCAGACGCGGTGTCGACTGATCGGCAACATCAAGGGACATGATCGCGTATAGTAGAAGCTTACGGATGGATTTGGAAGATGGGAGACTGAGCCTTTCAAACATTTTGCTTCAGCACTGAGAGTGCTCTATGGCCTGCCCAATGATCTGTCCAGACATGGTGATGCACCAGGCAAAATGACGCGACTTGTTATGTGGAGTGAGGGAACACACGTCGGGAAAACATATTGACTGGCAATGCCTCCTCCCAGCACAATCAATTTTTACTATCCATAAAATATTACTGAAGTAATTTGATAAGGCGTGTTATGATAGGCTCGATCATATCTAAATGTCTTCGTGGTTGTCGGAAAAGAGCGTCTATCTCCGGAAGCGGGAATAAGCTTTGACTATGGGTTCAAGTAGATAAGATCGGGGTGGAATCATACTGATCCCAAGCTCATGGCGCAATGGAGAAAGCACCAAGGACTTATCATAAAGAAGCCGACAAACCAGGGGCTATTTGAGCGACAAGGTCAATCACCGGATATACCCTTTCAATGCAACGACTGTGATGATCCCATAGCCGCCAGCGGGTCTCCCCCACAATCTGATTCCCCGGATTCTCCCCCCCATCATTAAGCTTATCTTTTACTACCCTGCTAAGTAAAACCTTTCCTACTGGCCAATTCCATCCTTAGATTGTCACCAATTACTCTTTTCGTCCAGAATCATTGTTCGACCCGGTATCCGACACTGTTCGGTCCGTCATCCGATGCACTATCGACTCCCCCTCACTCTTGGCATGCTCGGCACGCTCAAGGTTGGGACATCGCGCTTACCAGGGCCAGTATTAAACGGCTCTCTTCTCCCTGATCAACAGCTGTTCTTTCTGTCACAGTCATCTCAAGAACATTTGTGAATCTGTACATCACCATGACTGCAAGAGATTCTGACGCGGAGAGGGGCAATGGAAAGGAACCTTGGAGCAAAGAGTTTGAGCATGCTGATGCCCATGATGCTGCTGCGAGGGGACATCTTGCCACTGACGAGTAAGTTGACTGAGTGCCCCCTTTGTTTGAGCTGTGTTGACGTTGTTAGGCATGGAAATCCCATCGCAACTTTCGACGTAGAGGCTGAGAAGAAGCTTCGTCGTAAGCTAGACTGGTATATCTTGCCATCAGTCACTATCCTGTACCTGATGTGCTTTGTTGATCGTGCCAATATTGGTAATGCTCGATTGGCCGGTCTCGAGGAAGATCTTGGTCTTGCTGGCTATGACTACAACATTTTGCTTACCGTCTTCTATATTGTAAGTACTGCCCCCTATCCGCCGAAGCATCACCCTAACATGAATCTCTCTTGGTAGTCTTACATCGTCTTCGAACTTCCCCTAAACATGGTCTGCAAATGGATCGGTCCCGGCTGGTTCATCCCCGCTACCTCTGTAGCATTCGGCGTCGCCTCCCTCGGAACCGCTTTCGTTCACACAATGGGCCAAGCTTGTGCCGTGCGCTTCATCCTCGGCATCTTTGAAGCAGGCATGCTGCCCGGTATCGCGTACTACCTCAGCCGATGGTACAGACGCAGCGAGCTTGCCTTCCGCTTGGCTATATATGTCGCCATGGGTTCCTTCGGCGGTGCTTTCGGCGGTCTTTTGGCTTCTGGTATTCTGAAGCTAGATCACTTTGGATCATTGACGAGATGGCGAATGATCTTTGCTATTGAGGGTATTTGTACTATTGGCCTGGCGCTCATTGCGTTCTTTACCATGACGGATCGACCTAGCACTGCACGGTGGTTGTCGGAAGAGGAGAAGGACTTGGCTATTGCGCGTATCAAGTCTGAGCGTGTTGGGGCCACTGAAGTCCTTGAGAAGTTCTCCTGGAAACTGGCGCGTCGGGGTATCAGCTCACCTGTTACCATCGGAACTTCTACCATCTTCCTGTTCACCAACATTACTGTACAGGGCCTCGCTTTCTTCGCACCTACGATTGTGAGGACAATCTACCCCAACCATTCAGTCGTTCAACAGCAATTGCGTACTGTGCCGCCTTACATCGTCGGTACCTTTTGCACCGTCACCATCAGCTTCATATCGACTCGCATTGACAAGCGAAACATCTTTATCAACTTATCACAACTTCCAGTCATCGCTGGGTACATTATGTTTCTCAGCACCACGAACCGTAAGTTCCAAGCTCACTACATCCTGACACCCTAACTAACTCGGCCTTAGCTTATGTCCGCTATGCTGGCACGTTCCTTATCTGCGCAGGCACCTTCGCCAACGGCGCTCTGTCTAATGCTCAGGTATCAGCCAACTTGGTCAGCGACACAGCACGCGCTTCAGGAATTGGCTTGAACGTTATGCTTGGTAACATAGGAGGACTGATCTCGACATGGTGCTTTCTGCCCTTCGATGGACCAAACTATCCGATTGGCAATGGACTCAACCTCGGCGCGTGCTCATCCATCTTCCTTCTTACCATTGTTCTGCAAGTTTACATGACTTGGGATAACAGAAGGAGGGCTTCGATTGAGGTCGGTCAGGCTCTGGCTGGCAAGACTGATGCTGAGATTCGTGTTATGGATTGGAAGCATCCTGGATTTATGTGGCGGCCTTAGAATAGTTGCGCGGCCACGATGGATTGGAAATCTAGTAGAGATGAATCGTTTCTGCTCTTGCCGCAGAGAAATATAATCTATTCCTCATTCATAATGAAGTTGACTTGCTTTCTTCCACTGTGCTATTGTTGGTGATATAGACTTTGCACTGTTTCGCTCCACCACCGACCCCTCGGGAGATTCCGAGCCTAGACGACATGGCCTTTCCTGCTGCCCATTCCCCTCTTTGGAGTTCTGCATGCCGCGTCATGGGAAAGGCCGTTGCTGCCATGGGCCCGCATACACCCATATATAATCTGTATAACGTGAAAGGGGATTGCCGTTGTGAGGGGAGCTTCAATTGTGATGAGCAGGAGTCGATTCCGAGGAGCCTCCATCCAGGACAGAAAGCAGGAAAACAACGCCGTTCCAAATGGGCTGCCTTAACTGGGCTTTGCTTCAAAGTTCCCCGATCGTGTTTTCAGCTTGGAACCGAAGATCCTAATAGCCTTTGCCCCAATGCCTTAAAGGTGTCCACGGCATAAAGCTTGTCACGCGCGAGTTCGGGATATAGTGCTTACGGTCTATCTAAACTGCAAATGATGAGCATCATTCGTTTGCTGCTTCAAGGCCGGAAACTTAATTACTACCGGACCTTGACTGAATGAAACGGATTACCCCGCCGCTTTGGAAGTCCCGTTTGAGGCCAGCCGCCCCATGAACACGATGAGTTGGGCTGGCTGCAGAGTTGAGAAAAACAAGTTGAACTGGAATAGTGATATTCGCTCTTCAATTTTGCAGCATCAGTCAGCGCTCGGCTGTCCCGCGTTCTCACCCTCTTATATAACGTATTATGAGTGACTGCCTCGGTTAGAATGTCTGGGGTCATAGGAGGCTCAAATGAATAAAATTTCGTATCTCTTCACTTTTCTTACAAGGTAAATCATGCCATTGAAATACCAAGATGGGAGATCTCAAAGCAATGCGGCTTGCGCACAGATGCAAGTTAAACATAAGCCTCAGCCGTTTCATCGGATGCTGACATTGCCCTCGCCTGCATCAAGGTTCGGTATCTTACCCAGCCGGCAGCATTAATTTAGTAGAGTAAGCCCTACTGAGATCTAGGTAGGCCTATTGTGCTCTTAATTGGAGGAGAATATGAGCTTGGGTTGAACCTATTTTTGTAGTACCTTAGCTCTGCGGGAAGATTACGCTCACTGGGCTGAGTGGCTTGGAAGCTAGTAGTTCATCACTGTGCTCGGGAGGAAGCTGATTGCAGCAATGAGATTGCATAAGAAGCCGCTCTATCCAGGAGGGAAACAGAGATCAACCACCCACTCTGCCAAACTTTGCCCACAAAGTAAATACCACCATATTGGTGTCCTATGACCGGCAACATGAAGTCTCTTACAAGTATGGCTATCGCGGCGGCCTTAGCGCTTTGTAAGTAACAAGAAGCCCTGTAAATGAGAACAGCAGCTTAACAGCCCTTACTTAGTCGCCGGCTGGTCCTCAGCATCCCCAACGTCATACTGCAACGGCAAGTCCGACAAGGTGTGCTACACCTGGGCCGTCCCAGCCTCAGCAGCCTCGTCCGGCTCCGGTAACCTGTTCATCCGTATTCAAGCCCCCGTAGACTACCAATGGGTCGGTCTCGGCACAGGTGACGAGATGAGCGGCTCTACCATGTTCGTCATCTACCAAGACGGTACTGGTAACGTCACCTTAAGCACGAGGATGGGTCACGGCCATGAGATGCCTGAACATAGCCGCATGCGCTCTGTAAGGCTTATCGAGGGCAGCGGTGTCGTGAACAAGACGATGGTAGCCAATATCCATTGTGGCGATCTCGGAAATATGCACTTCAAGGGATCAAATAACTGGATCAGTGCTTGGAAGACTGGAAGCTCTTTGCACACGGCTGGCATTGATGCCAATATCAAAGAACATGACGGACACAATAGCTTCTCAGTTGACTTCTCCGAGGCTGTTATAAGCTCTAAGAGCTACCCTTTCATTCACATGACGACTGCTGCACCAAGTGGTGCAGCATCTGGTGGCGGGGGGAGAAGGCAATACCAGCACTATTCACGGTAGTATAATGTCGGTGGTCTTTCTATTGGGTTACCCACTGGGATCGCTGTTGATGCCTATAATCGGAAAGTGGTTCATCCACGCCACCTGGCAGATGATCGTCTTTATCGGCATGTGGGCTGGGTTTGTTACTGGCAAGTTGGCTGCCGACCGTACCGGTAATGTAAGTAAACAAGCCTGTCTGCTGGAAGCATTGACTAACTCTCAGTCAGTGGTTTAACGCTCCGCATGTCATTATCGGCACCGTAGTTTGCGGTTTGATGGTTATCCAGCCAATCTTGGGAGGGCTACATCACAGGAACTTCGTCAAGCATCAGCGCCGAACAGGCATCAGCCATGTTCACATCTGGTACGGAAGAGCTCTAATGATTCTTGGAATTGTGAACGGTGGGCTCGGCCTGCAGCTTGCTGGTGCGTCCACGAAGCTAATTATCGGCTATGGCGTGGTTGGTCTGACAACATCCTTGATGTACACCGCTGGGGCTGTTCGCAAGATGCTGAGAGGAGCGAAGAAGCATCAGCATGAGCCTATGAAGTACAATGGCTCTTATAGCGCGGTGGCCTTGATTTGACCGGCAGTTGTGGATTCTCTGTTCATGTGTCATTCTCGATAGCATTTCTAGCAAAAAATTGTTTCTCTTTCCATCCAGCCACCAATTACGCCGAAGCTTTTTGATCGTACTGATGTGGTTGGTTTGAGCCGGTGATACCTGGCGTGACGGGCACCCTCTATCATCAGTCTGGAACTACGGTCATGGCATTCATCAGTTCAAAGTAGTTGGTAATCGGATCCAGAGTGGGCATAGATACTCAAGCTTAAATGACCGACACTCACTTGTCGTGGCAATTCATTTACCCTTGTGGAAGTGTGTTAATGTTTGTCCGACCATGATCAATCGGCCATCCCCTCGCGGGGTATCATGAAGCCCTTATCGGATAAGCCAATCTCTGGAATGTCAAGTCTCTAATTGGTTCAGTGAGCGTCTTCTCCAATTTACATGACCTGCATCAAGCCTAGCCCCCCAAACACGGCGTCAATTGCCGAGCCCCGTCGGTCCAAGGCCTCCGCGCACCGGAAATCATGACCTTTCTCCGCCCTTGAAAAACATCGAATTAAGTGCGTGCCAAGTTGCGTATTAGATCCACTGCGGTCTTTATCTGCTGGTCGATCAGATGATCCGTTCGTAGGTAGAAAAAGGCGCGCCCTTGCTCTTAAGTCCACGCCCTGGCTGAACAAGTTGTATCGTTGTGCGGGGCAGCACATTCACTACCGATTTGACGGACCGACAAGGGTTTGACTGACCAGTTGGGTGATGCTTAAAGAACCTTGATATCTAACGTACATCATTGCTTGGTTTCGTATCGATATACCTTTTACTTTACTGTCGCTGTAGGTGGAAAATGGCCATACTCCCGATTGCGGCGGCTGTGCTCGCTGTCGTGCTCTTCGTCAAGCACATCTTCCTCGATCCCCTCATCCTCAGCCCTCTTCGCCACGTCCCCGGCCCCAAATCCTTCGCCGCGACAAAATGGCGCCTTGCCTACGAAGACTGGAAAGGAACGCGAACTCGCACGATTTTTAAACTACATCAACAATACGGACCAGTCGTGCGCATCGGTCCTCATGAGGTCTCTTTCAACAGCCTGTCAGCGCTACGAACCATCTACGGACCCGGAAGCCGATATGGCCGAACCACTTTCTATCGCATGTTTGATGTCTACGGCGAGCAGAATTTATTCACGTTCCACTCGCCCAAGGAGCATGGCGATAGGAAGAAGCTGTTGTCGCATGCGTATTCCAAGTCCGTTGTTCTCAAGCCGCCGACCGCGAAAATGGTTGAGAGGAGAGTTCGTCAGTACCTGGACCTGATTGAAGCCGAGCCTGAGAATGTCAGTGAGATTTTCAGCACTCTGCATTACTATTCTCTGGACAATATCACCGCTTTTGTTTACGGAAAGTATGGCCAGACTGCAGCAATTCGAGGATCAAAGATTCATCGAGAACTCATCGCGGATATTCTGCATCCCTCTCGTCGAAAGCTTTCTTGGTCTATCGTGCATCTGAAGACTTTGACTCAATGGCTGTACCGCCAGTCGGGATTAATGGGACAACTTGTAAAGCCGGTTCTTCCGATGCAGCAGCCTACTACATACACTGGTATCCGAGGATATGCTCTGCGAGCTTTTGAGGCTTTCCGAGCTGATGTTGAGAAGATTACTCAGTCGGAGGGTAAGTAATATTTGTGACTTTTTGTATGCAGACAGCTGACAAGAATGGCAGATGAGCATGTCTCGATTGTGGAAAATCTCTGGCAACATCATGAATCTCAAAAGCCTGGTGGACTCCGCGATCTGCAGATGGCGTCTGAATGTGCTGACCACTTCCTCGCTGGCATCGACACCACTAGCGATACGCTTATGTTCCTCGTCTGGGCACTCTCACTTCCGGGCAATGAGAAATACCAGGAAAAGCTGCGGGAAGAAGTCATGGCCATCTCAGGTGATGGACTGAACCAATGGGGTAATCCAAGAGCTGAGGCAAGTGATCGATGCACATATATCAACGCCGTCATCAAGGAGACTCTACGACTCTATGCTCCTTTGCCAAGCACCGAACCTCGTTCGATTGACATTGATTCGGTTATTGATGGATATACCATTCCTGGCAACACTGTTGTTGGCATGTCGCCTTGGATCATGCACCGCAACGAGTCGGTATTCAAGGATCCCTTGGTCTTCAACCCTGATCGGTGGCTTGGACCTGATGCAGCGGAGTTGAACCGATGGTTCTGGGGATTCTCGAGTGGAGGACGAATGTGCATTGGCATGCAGTAAGTTGCTTCTCTTCATTTGGATAAGGTGAATCTCAATTACTAACACGAAGCAGTCTTGCCATGGCTGAGATGACAACCCTTACAGCTACCATGTACCGACAGTTTAGAACGACAATTGCTCCAGGGTTTGAGGATACTACGCCCGCTATTACAGCTCGCGTCGAGACTTTCTACGATGATCGATTCCCCAAGGTTCAGGTTAGTCTTCTCCTCATTATTGCTGATATGACGTGTGACTGACTAGCTACAGGAATCAAAATGCCTGATCAAGTTTACGAAACTGAAGCAGTGAGAAGACATTCTTCCATAGGAGTTTGGAGAGTTTTGCCTATATCGGTTTGATGTCTGTTTCTGTTTTCTATAGCTGCAAACAGCCATGATCAAATTACGCCAGTAAAAATACGTTAAAGCATGATATCATGATTCTTTCTTTTGAGTTTTTGAATCTTGAATCTAAGTGAACCTCTATCAAGAATCTAATAATAGACAAATGCATATAAATCTCAAAACTGGTCGATAAGGTGGCAGGCAGCTGAACCGAGAGCTCTGAAACTCATTTTCACAACCCCACTAATCTCCAGAATACAGGGGAGATTGTTGGTCCCAGCGACGCCACATTCAATAGTTCAGTAGTGCCAAGACCAAGCTACACTGTTTTCACGATCAAGAAAACGAGAGATACCATGCATGGCGAAAACGAATCGAAGCTGTCAGAGGAGCGGCGCATTCTTAGTTCACTTTTGAGCTTCAGCAATTTGGCTTAATTGCCATGTTTCCCCATTGCCACGGATATCTTGACGCCCTGTTTTCTCTTTTCGCAACATCCATACTGTCATTACCGTTAACATGAAGTTTACATCTTCAGTTCTTCAGCTTTTGTCGCTGTGCCAAATCGCGTCCGCATCGCCATGCAAGCCTTCTTCTTTAACTGTCACTTCGGCGGCGCCAGCAAGCACCACAGAGGCCACTGAGACAGAGTCATCTACGGCCTTTATCCACGAAACTACAGCCACTACCGACTATGAGACATTGTCCGACTCATCTACCATCGCCACTTCGGTCGCAACCTCAAGCGCTGAGGTTGAGCCCACGGCAACCACCACTACCGCATCAGGACCTACCAATCTGATCAGCAACCCCGGTTTCGAAGACTCAACCGTCGCGCCTTGGACCATCTACAACAATGTCGGAGCCTTGAGTATAGCCAGCGGTTCAGGCCTACCCCCATCACCCCAAGCAGGGCGATTCAGCGCCTCTGGAGAAAACCTCAGCAACATGGGCATCAGACAGAATCTTGATTCATCCTTTATCGTTGCCGATAAAGAGTATCGCTTTTCTGTCTACACCAAAGTTACAGCCTCCAACTTTTGCATCTCGCAAACAATTGCATGCGGTGCAGGAACAGGTTTCGTAAACTCGGCGAATTGGGGTGCAGTGCAGGCGAATGGTTGGCAACTGACGACGGTTACTTGTTCGTGGAATGAGGCTCAGTTAGATGCTGGACCCAGTGTCCAGGTCACGGGAGTGTGCAATGACCTGACTTTTCTGGCTGATGATGCTTCCTTGGTCGCAACTGAGGCATCGGATTAGTTAAACTGTGACTGGGGGGAATGTTTTGGGTTTGGTCATAATACGTTGAACCAAAGACCTTATCAATTCTATATGCCCTTCCGTGGGCCGTTGAACAGTTTTCTTCTCCATTTTTTCATCAACGTTGAGGCCCATATTAGCACTTCCGCTTGTATGCCCCCACCCAAGCCAGGGGTGCATCATGCATGTTGGTCCAGGTTCAAGTCAGCAACGCCACATTCAATAGTTTTACAATAGACGATGAGCAGCTACCAAGCGTAAGAAAAAGGAAAATCTGGTCCGCGGAGCTGAACTGCCACAATGGACCGATTTGTTATTCAAGCTAGTTTAGCGTGACGTCTTATGCTTAATTGCGCCTGGTTTCCGGTCATTCTTCCCTGGCGACCTTCTGTTCTGTTCTCTTTCTCTACAAACATCTCGGTCTGGCCAGGACATCGAAATCGTGGTTATGAGACTCACGTACCCATGTATTCAGCTCTTGGCGCTGTGTGAGCTGACTTCAGCCTCGCCATGCAAGCCCTCTTCTCAAACTTCCAATCATATTACACCCACCAGCACTTCCAGCTTTGGCAATGCTGAGTTGACTAGTACAGATATATTTTCGACAACATCGTTGACGACAGAGTCTGTCACCTTTTCGGACCCATCTTCCAGGATACTTTCTGCAGAGACTGAGTCTATCACATCGACAGCTGTCCTTTCATCAGCTTCAGTTACGAAGACAGAATCATCGGCCATAGCCTCCTCTGAAACAACAACTATTGCCGAAAGCACCACGACATATGAGTCTTTAGTCTCTACAACCTCAGCTGTAACCTCGGCTGCAGCTTCAGTCGAGACATCAACCGACGAGGCACCCACCACGACAACATCTGTTAAGCAACAGTTTACCAACTTAATTCACAACCCCGGCTTTGAAGACCCTACCTTCGCGCCCTGGGAAGCAGGAAAGATCGGAGATCGCGGATGGCTATCCATCCGCAGCGACACGTCTCGTCCAGGATCACTCCAATGCGGCGTTTTCGATTCTTCAGTTCCGCCTACGGGAGGGCTGAGACGCAGACTTATCCAGCCGTGGACCTCGACCGTCAAACAGGATATCGACCCATCCAAGATCGTCGTCGGAAAAGAGTATCGCTTCTCAATTTTTCAAAAGACCACAGCGTCCAGCGGTTGTAATATCCAGCGGTTGGGATGTGGAGGGAGGTCGACGTCGGCCGGTTCGGGGGACTTTGGAGGTCCTCTGAACACGTGGGCTTTGGGAGCAATTAGCTGCACATGGAACCAAGGTCAGCTTGATGCTGGACCCTTTGTTGTATTGACTAGTATTTGCCACTCTATAACTTTCTCTCTTGACGATGCTGTCTTGATAGAAAGAGAAGCATCGCCGTATTGATCTACGCTTATGAAACTCTTACATATCTTATCCAACAAAACAACATAGCTTCGATGAAGATTACCTACAACCTGATTGTTAGCTGCATCCAGGCAATCTCACAACCACCTACCCCATGACAACTTGATGTAATTGGTAAGTGGCATACCTGTAAGCATGGACTATAGTGACAGCCAAACCAAATAAGTCAAGACGTTGAAATATCACTTGCCAAAGAACAAAATATCTAAGCATAACATCTCAATAGTTGACAACAACCCTCGACTAACTAGGACTCTATCCAGCCGCAACAGAAAGCCAAAGCTTGTTGCTGAGAAAGGTGGAAACCGTTGTAATTAGAATACACATATGTTTTTCAGTCTCGCACTAGGCGTGATGACAGGAACCGAGCTGGCCACAGACCTGATGCACTTCCCCATCGTGCTACCACGTTCATGACCGATATCTGCATCTTCGTAAAATCTCCAGTTGCGATAGAGCTTCTATTCGACTTTGCCACTAGCCCAATGTTGCTTATGATGGTATCACTACCCTCACTCGAAGTTGCCGATGCTGAAGGATGGCCATGGCCTGGGTTTGGCGCCCGTGAAGGCAACGAATTCAATCACAAACGAGTTTAGGAAATTCACGGCAAAGAAGGACCAAGATGAGTACACCAAGCCAAAAGAAAGACTGGATATCTGCAGAAAGTCTCCTAAAGGCCCTTCCTTATACCCGATGAAGTGCAAGCTATTTAGCGTGTGATCTTTTTTAGGCTAGGAATTTCCACTAGGGGCAGCTAGGGCATTAGCTCAATGGGCACGGAGTATTTTGCGACCGGAGGCCTAAAGTCCACTGAACTTTTAGGGGCCAATGCCCCGTAAGTAATTTTGTATTTGTTTGGGCCTTCCGTTTGTTGCAAAAAGCTGACAGTATGATTGCCAATGGAGGCTTAAACTGGACCATAAACCTGGCGGCTGAGAACGCGGCAGCTGTATTAGAACCAAAAGTGAGGCAGTATGTCTTGCGATATGCAAAGTATACTTAGGGATTCGTTTGATTGATCCCGTATGGCTTGATGGTAGGAGACTCTCGCTTTCATCACAGCGTGAGCGCCAGGACGCCAGCTGATCATGTTTGAGGACCGATACGGAGGTACAAAGGGACGGGAACGCCTATTGATGACTTCAAAGCCTTGTAGCGCAATGATCCGGATACTTGGTGTGCCACCGCGCGGTGCCGAGTAGATACCTTTATGCTTCATGATTATGGTACCAAGCTTCTCATCTCCATTAGGACCTACAATGCTCTTGAGAACAACAGTTAATTCTACCTACGATGGTACGGTACTGGCGAATGTTACACTAACACCAAGGCGATAAGCCAATTTAAAGGCCATGCCGCTCACGCCTTTGCGCATGAACATTTCAAAGTGGGCTCATGGAAGATGCTGTAGCATGTATCAGCTGACAAGCCCTTGCGACTTGTGAGCGTGGCGCACTCAAAGCCAGCGCAGATGTACAACTTAGTGAACTGACATGAGCTTTCGCCAACCTGAAACAAGGACTAGTCGTTGGTTCTCTCCTTCAGCTCTTAGGATTGGCCATTTGGCGGAGCAACCGAGTTAAACTGATATCCTATGCCTTCGGAAATAGTAATTGGAATCTTCCAGCTGGTACTACATCGGTGACTCCAAATGGTATGCCGTTTCAAATAATGCTTCCAAATTCCGAATTCCCCTGTGATTCCTCAATCTTTCCACCACCTGTCAACCAGATGCCAACGAGATAGCAACACGGCTTCTTGAGCTCACTGCAGCGAAGCTGAAGATGGGAGCGTCACGAGGCGTGCTGAGCATGGCGCTACAATAATACACGCCGCTGGCCCTTAAAATCATAGGGGATCTCTGCGAGACACGAGGACCCAGCTATGAAATTGATCTGGTGTCAATCAGGGAACCAGATTTCCGGCCTCATATATTACCAAAACATGAGAATAGACTATCAGTGTGCTGTCGCACTCACAACGCAAAGGCTCTCGAAGCCATTAACATTAACCGCGGCCCTTCACAGGATTACTATTGTTACACAAGCTTTTTAGTTAAGATACTTTGATGCTCGCGTGATGCAGCTAGGGAGATGGCTTGAGATTGCCGCAGTTATTATATACCTAGTTGTGGTCCAGCGAACATTGGGACTCTAAGCTCAAAAAGCATTATACTAAAATTTGACTTTAGGCCCCCCCTTTTCTTTATCAAGTTGGAGATGAGCATTTAAGTTGCATGAGTTTGTGATTGAAGCAATTGGCTATATAATATCCTCTGTTCGTCAGCCTTGGGCTCACCATGAGTGCCCGATGTGCGGGGAAACGTTGCAGGATTACGTCAAAGAATGAGAGTATATCTAGAGCAGAAACCAGGTTCGCTGCGATTTACGCCTTTCAAGCCGAAACTATATTAGAAATCCTGATCCAAGTATGTCCTCGCTTTGTCATAGTTTTTGAAACGCATCCGTCAATTCCACAGGATTCTTGGACAGAGTTCTTTCAGATCTACAACAATACTCAGAAAAGCCACCAGACTTACAGACTTACGGTCAGACCACCACGAACATCCGCTTATGTAGCTTCCGTCTTTGACATTGTTTCTTTGACCAGGTAAATGTCCAGCTTGATAATAATAGTGTGGTTCCTAGCGGTTATAAAAGTTTAAGCATTCTGATAAGACTACACTATAGACATACAAGGTATCCCGTCCGAGAAAACGCCCTGCTTGATAAAGCTTTTACCCTAGGTATTAGACCTTCGAAATATAACTATAAAAATGAACATCCCTCTCAGAAAGCCTTCTCCAGAACTTCAGGACCCACAGACTGTAGAAGCATGTCCAGCGTAGCCTGCCATGAAGGTTCCATGAACTTCGACATGATCGTCACCCTCTTCGCCGCCTTGTCAACACCCTCCTTCTCTTTCAGGACATCCGCCCTCTCAGCATCGAGCTGCCCAAGTCTCTTAGTAACAAGCGCAATCTCATGATCGGTCTTGTATATTCCAGCGATACTCTTGTCGAGCTGGCTTTTGACAATAACATATACCTCCTTGTGCTCGAGAATAGTCTGTTTCCGCTTGTTAATAAAGGTACGAAGCTCAGCATCGCTAGGGTTCTGCTGGTAAACTTCCTCAAGACCTCTGAGCGTTGTGTTTTCGTTGGCTGTGGATTTCTCAACATCTTTGAGGGCGTCTTGGGCTTTCTTTTGGTCGTTTGTGTAATCATTCCTTTTCTGGAAAAGGCTGCTCTGAACGGCAGAGAGCTTACGTTGCTCGTCGTTGATGTCGGCTAATAGATCTTCAAACTTATGGAGAACTGGCTTTATGGCATCAGAAGCATTTTTCAAGCTTTCTTTGAACTCGTCTCCAGAGGGCTATACATGGTTAGATTAAAAATTATTAGAAGGGGAGGTCCTTACCAAAACTGCGTCCCAATTGATTGCTCTAGATACTTGAGACTGATGATGCGGTCGAGCATTGGATGACCTTTGTCTCTTTGCTCCCGTTCGTGATGCGTTCGAGGGAGTATTACTCGTATATGATGCTGCTGGAGATGATTCAGCCGGGCGCTTATTGCCCCGAGAAGTAGCCAAGTGATGAGGCGTCGATTGCTGACTGCTCGTCAATTGGTTGTAAGCCCCGGGAGGAGCCACGGGATTAGGTGCCGATGACCGGTTGCCTGGTTGCTGCTGAGGAGTCAGAGAGGTAGCACTGGTGCGTGGCGACGCCAATGGCTGAGAGCTGGCTTGTGTGCGGGGAGTTGCGGAGCTCTGAGAATTTGAAGCGGAGGTTGGAGCGGATGGCTGGCTATTGGATCGTTGGAGTTGCGTTGCACCTTTAGTACCGGGGATTGGAGGAAGAGGTACTGCTGTGTGTGATTGAAGGCGAGGTTTGACGGAATTCTGCAGTGTCGTAGGTTGTTGAGGAGGGAGCATAGGGCGGCCCTGACACATTACAATTTTGAGCTCTGGAACTTGAGAACTTGGTGTTTGTTGTTGAGAGCTCGGTGGACTCCTGACAGCGAGAGTCGCAGATGTGTACTCCGCTGAGCCAGTGCTTTGCGGAACAGAGCTCCTAGGTGTATCTGAAACTAATCGGGATGGCTGTTGGATACTGCGCCGCGGACGGCTTGAGACTGCTGACACAGAGTTGGGCGTTGATGTTTCGTGATCAGGTGCAGATTGACTATCAACCTGGACAGGCTCTGGACTGTCGTTCGGCATGAAGCCATCGCCATCTGGATCTACCACTGTTTCCTCATCTGACTCGTCGATCTCGACGACTTCTTTGGCTGGTGAGCGGCGTTTTTCTCGAGGGGGGGTCTTTTTCTTTGAGCTTTGCCTCTTTGGCGCAGCCCAGTCGAAATCATTCTCATCCTCAAGCTCCTCAACTTCTTGTTCCTCCTCCTCCTCCTCAACTTCTTGTTCCTCCTCCTCTTCCTTTTCTTGTTCCTCTTCATCTTCCTGTTCTGCCGCCTCGCCTTCTTGAACTTGCCCCGGTTCCTCGACTTGCTCTTCAGCCTCATCTTCATTTTCATCCTCTTCTTCATCAGTATCGACTTCCATCTGATCATCAGGCAAACCCAAAGCTACAATTTCATCAGCAGGTTCAGATTCTGCATCAGTCGCGTCACTGTCGCCCATGTCATTGTCGCTCTGCTCATTCACTGGCGCCGACTCATTTGGATTTGTATGCTTGGTATCAATCCCCATACCACGAAGCCATTTCCGGACTTTGAGGATATCAGATTTGCGAAGCTGAGGATACTTTGTACGCGGGTGATGGTTCGCATGACCCTTCAGTCTGCGTCGCACGTCCTCAAGATCGACTCTGTTGGACACCACGAGCGACACCAACGCAGAGAGACCCTCAATGAGTCTGATCCCCCACATGTCAGGAACAAAACCCTTGCATAGCTCATTTGGCCACATCCCGCTGAGCTGATGAATGCGCGACGCTGCGTGATAAGCCCGATGAGATGGATATTCTGTTGATGATTGAGCCTTGACGCCCGGCGGCGGCCTACCGCGATGACGCGTGGATGAGTGCTTTGGCGTCATCGTAAATGATGGAAAAAATCAACAGGTTGATGATGGTTGTGAGTCTGCTTGAAACTGAATGTGCTCAAGATGAGCTGATGTGATTGATTATTAAAGGGTGGTGATGTGTTTGCGACCCATGAGGTAAACGGTAAACACGGTCCAACTGCGTCACGTGTTTTGGCGTAGTACCCGAATGGCTGAGCCTAGGTAGGTGAGCAAAGGGGGGCGGAAAAATAAATTCCAGCTCCGGCGTCATACAACAAGCATACTTCGGCCAGATATAAACGCCATCTTGTTTCATCTCTCAGCCAATGAGAACGGAAAATGCTTGAAAAAGGCATAGTATTTATTGAATGTTCCCATATCAGAGTATCTTAGGCTTGAAGATGCCTGTCGGGCTGCAATCGCTTGTGTGATGAATGGTAAAGCATTGCTCATCAGGTCGCCAAGTATTGGCGGGTAAGACAGGGAAATCTCACCAGGAATGGCTGGAATCGTTTGGCCATCTTGTAGCGGGAGTTCTGACTACACCTAGGCTCGGTTATCAGTCAAGAGATACAACGCGCAAGATATTTTCATCCTGATTTTCAGGTCCCACATATCCCACCTAACCCACCGAACCTAGCTGGCCGTTGCTCAGAAGACTATGGAACGAATACCCAATGATTTAGTCTCGTTCAACTTCTTCAATCATAATACATTTTCGTACTTCTTTCGTCAGAATTCAGGTCAGAACCAGCTCTATCGTGATGGAAAAGCGCACAGCGACTTTTACCATATGCAATCTCTTTTTAGCTGCAACATTGGAAAAGGATCATCGTAGAATAGTTCAGGGCGTATCTTCCGGAGCTTGTTTAGCATAGTGTAGTTCATCTTCCTGGCGTCAATCAAGATGGCTCAACTTGACTTGAGAACTTTTTTTATTCCGCTCCCTAGATGAAGTCTCTAATTTTCAATGTCATGCTATTGGACTTCGTTCAGTCGCTAAGACACCACTGAAATCTAGCCTAGGACCTTGTAGTACGGGAGATAGACATGATATCTGCCGTCAAGGATAATGAAATGACATGTGCAGCATGTGCCCTCCCAAGATTTCTCTAAGGTGGTATTTGTTCCCATGAAGAATTCACACAATAAGAAATTTAGATAGAATTTGACCTCGCAATGATAAAGCGAGTTGGGCGTATAACAATGGGGCAGATTTAGTATAGAACTAAATGGATGAGATTCATTATCGGCGGGAATATAACCATTCAGTAAACTAAATGATTCGTAGTCAGAACTTCCATGGCGAGGGGGTTTTAATTCACAAAGGCCGCTTGGGCTACTGAGCATATACTTTGGTGGGAAGTCGTGCTGAAGCGGGGATATTATGTATCTTTTTGCAGTATTTCTCATCTCAGTCTTGTCGGTCGAAAACACAATAATGATATACGTAGGAGATCTGAAGCTCTCCTCACCGCACCTGTTCTTCTGAGTTGGGTTACTTCAAGCGTCGTTTGGGGCTCTGTTTATGGTACTAGGTTAATGGGGAGCTGAGAGCTCACTCACTGTGACCGAAGCTGCGGTTGGGGTTTCGAGGTATTTGAAGTATAAAACGACATCGAATAGCTACTCTTGCAACTAGGTCAACGCATTGGACCATTATTAGGCATGCAGGCTGGAATTCAGTCGCTCCATCAGCAAGCATGCAACCCTTGCTGCTGAACAATGTTTTGGGTCAGATCTAAAGAGGAGGTTCGCACCCTTTTCCCTCCCCTTTGAGGTTCTCCGCTAGAATTGTATCACAAATCACATCACAAGGTCGCATTATACCGCCACTTTGGAATGCGTCGAGGAACAAGCGAAGCCCTCCCACCACAAACGTGACACGTCTCACTAAAAGACAAGGCCATCCTGCATCGCCGATTTCAGTGACCATCAGCGATAAACCGAAGAGACCGCCAAATCAAATACTGCTCCTTTCTAGATACATAATCTTCCGTCAGCAATACTTCGCACTCAATTTACTGCTGACTGAATCAGGACCCCCTGTTCTTGGTCGTTCCGCCGGCCTCGCCGAGCATAAATTAAGAGCCACGCCCGGTTAGCTCAATCGGTAGAGCGTGAGACTCTTACGAGTACGCGATCTCAAGGTTGCGGGTTCGACCCCCGCATCGGGCTGTTCCTATATTACGATTGCGAGCGTTTACGAGGCTTTCTTTTTTGCACTTCTTGACAACTAGTTATGTGTTCTACTAAGGCTCTGTGAGCTATAACGGCCATCACACTGAGAGCGGGACATGTATATCGTCGCTGCAATTTAGATACTTGTGTGGTGGGACCAAATGATATGTTAAGAATGGAAAGTCTAATTATTTTGCAACCATAAAAGGATGCGGGATAAGTAGTCATATATAGCGAAGCAGTGGCTGCGAACCAGGTTGCCTGCTATGATGAAATGTGTCTAAAAATGGTCCTTGGGTATTGGCTACTGCCATTACCTTGACTGCCTCCCAGTCATAGTAAATTTAGTCTGAAATACCCATGTGAACGTCATCTACCCAGGCCACGAAGCCGTTGCTGCACTTCGCCCTGATGATGACCCGAATAGCATTGTTACTGTCCAGAGCAGTCTGTGTCAGAGAAAACTCGCCCGAAAGACCAGTAAAGTCATTAGCGATTTGAGAACCAGTAACACTAATCCTCTGTCCAAAGGCATCACTGAGATCGTTGTTGTCGATGAACGCCTCGAAAGCACTGCAAGAAGTGCCAGAGCTGACCTTGGCAAATAGAGTAAGACTGTAAGGCTGGTTTGCGACGAGGGTTGACTTGCGGAGGACTTGGAAGACAGTTGACCATTCGCTAGCCTGGGAGCCTATCTCGAGAGAATAAGAGCCTGAATGGACTGGTGAAACGTCGATGTTGGCAAAGGCGCCGATACCGAAGTTGACCCATGGAGCAATGCTACCGGTTTCAAAGTCACCGTTGATGATGATAGTAGGTGCCTCGATAGGTGCAGCCGAGGTAGTAGAGGCAGCCTCCGTGGTAGAAGTGAAAGCAGAAGTCTCGGTAGTGGAAACAACCACGGTTGAGGTCGACTCAGCTTCACTGGATGTAGCTGTCTCACTCTCAGTGATGGTGATGTCCGTGACGTAGCTAGACTCAGTTGAGGTCAGCTCACTGGTGAAAGTGGCGTCGCTAGCAGTGGCAGTCTCAGTCTCAGAAGAGAAGGTTGATGTAGCCTGGATCTCAGTGGTGGAAGAAATCGGCTTGCAGGGGCTAGCCTCAGATCCAATGAGGATGGAGAAGGCCGCGAATGCAGCAAAAAGTCTCCGCGATGCCATCTTAGAATGAATGAATAAGATAGTCGCTGTAACGAACGTGATGCTCCAAAAGGAAAGGAATGAGAAAATGCAGGAAAGGGTCCAGGACTGACGGAAAACGGTTTCGCAGTGCTGAAGTACTTAGTGCTCGCGCTATCACGATGGGGCAGCTTAAATTACGTGGGCGCTAACGTCTGATGAAAATCGATAGTTCGCTGATAAATTTTGACAATTGGTTTCGCCAAGCCAATAGACCACTCTCGATACGGTATAGTGATGACATTATGTCAGCTGACGTGTTTTGTTATCTTATCCGGAGAAAAAGCAACACTTGGGAATAGAATTACGGAGTACTACCATGACAAATCCTATCTGAGTTCGAGACCCTTGACGGCTGACATCTCAGATCATGCCATCAAGTGCTCTCATGGCTCCTTTCATAGTCCTGATGAAGTCATCGAATCAAGCACGACCGTCGCAAACAATACTTAAGCAGTGACAAAATAGCGTTTGTTTATATTATGCTATCTCATCTCCGCCATTTTGAGGCTAACGTGTTTTACGAACTGCCAGCTCTCAGAATCATTGAATAATGAGGAATGCCCAGAATCGATACAACGCGAATGTCCTTGAAGCCTGCAGCCACATACAATGGCCGACCTGCTTCAGTAGCTACTAAATAGCAATCTTTTCCTTCGGCAGCTGCGTGATCAAGGCCCCACTGTAACAACATCTTGCCGATACCACGTCTCTGATTACCTGGGCTGACACCGATATAGTCGAGATCTAGGCGGTTAGTCACTGCAGCGGAGAAAGTGAAGTGGGAAACATACGCCAAACACCAGCGATGCCTTGTTCTCCAAAAGTATCGACAGCATCTTGATTCACAGTCTTTTTCATCTCATTGTAGGCCTCCTTATCGAGCGCAGTGCATTGTATCTCCTTACTGGGGCCAGAGTCACCGCCAGTAGCAGGAGGCGCATCCCAAAGCGAGAAGCCGACGACTTGGTCATCTTGTACCTTTTCATCATCAACAGCTACAACGAGATGAGACTCTGATGATGCTAGACTTGATGCTTTGCGTGCAAAGCGCCAGTCATATGCTGCTTCGCCATCGGGGAGGTCTGTTGGTTGTAAATGAGGGGGAAATAAGCGTCGTGACAGAGCGTCCGTGTTGGGGTGGAAAGCCGAAGTTGCGATACGAGCTATGGCAGGGAGATGCTCTTCTGAGGCTTCAATTAAGCGAATTGTCATGATTTGGGCGTGATATAAAGTTGAGATGTTGTGTGATGAATGAACTGTGAGAAGGAGGTGAAGCAGAAATGGCGGAGGAGAGATCCACTAAAGTTGCGCCCTAGATGACATGACATTAGCGCCCTTTTCGCTCCATGACGATTCTTCTGCTGCCGCCGAATATTGTTGAATTCCAAAGGGCTTTTATATTTGCGTACGATTTCGTCGATATATCGGAGTCGACACTGTCCGTCATGGATATCCGTGGTTGTTGTACAATTGTATCTAACATCTACAATGCGTGAGAGCTCAAAGAGAAACGTGGGGCAAAGGACATTGTTAGATTCCACTGAATGAGGTTAAGCATCTTTTTGTTCCCGCAAGGCCAAGTCATTATAAATTAAAAGCTTATACAAGTATCAATATGCAAATATTCTAGCACCACTATACCATCTGTGTTGGTTTCTTCTTCGATTTGTTTCCGCCCTGGTATGCCGATATGCTCGTCTGGGTTCCATACATTGAGATACTGGTGGGTATTTTCGGTCCAGTACCGACACCTCCATGACCCTCAAATGCAGCCAAGGTTGAACCAGTGAGCCCGTCGCTTCCTTGATCCTGGAGACAAATGGTGCTGTCTCCATCATCTGATCGAGAGAGCCAATTCTTGATACCAACCAGCAAGGGCTTGAAAGTCGGAAGGCAAGCACAAGTTATTCCAGACACGATCTCTGCCATGGACCATGAAGCTGCTGTGACGTTCCACCATGTCATGTCTGTAACGGGGTCAAGCCACTGCACGCGGAGAATAGCGATCGCGAGAGTACTGAAGAACACATTAGTAAATGATACGGAAATCCGGATATACCACTTACAGTGTTCCTAGGCCGAAAATACCAGTGAGATATAACTTCTGGGATCGTGGAAGCTGAAGCTTCCACACAATGGGTAGAGGCATGACGATGATTGCGAAGTCAGTGACGATGTGCACGATACCACTGATGAGCCACATAGTAGGTTGGGAAAGCATGCAGCGTCCCTTGACACCTGAATCCCAAAAAGATTGAATTGGGGTGCAAAAGAAAAACACTCCAATGCATTGGTAGGTTCCCCAGAGGATGATGAAACCGAGTGCGCCCAAGTATAGCCATCTCATGTTAGAGACAGACATGATTCGGTAATAGTGGATTAGAAACGTCAACTTGATGGCGAAGAGCGCGTAGGTATAGAACAAGATCGATATCCAGAAGCACTGCAGACTAAATGTTAGGGGGCACTCGATATGGGTAGATGTCTGGCCCACGTACTCGGAGGTAAAGGGATACCTGTTGAGGGGATAATGTATAGACATGTCGGCCCAGTCCATAATGTGTCACTGCGATCGTAGATTAGTTAGTGTTGTCGATATAGAGAAGCGAGACATACTGGCGACGATTGATGACCCACAGCCTAAAACGCAAGCCTAAAGTAACTGGTTTTAGAAATATTTTGTCCCGAGAGATGTTGACTTGACTTACCAGAGCCACCACTGCAGTCACATCGTCAAGCGCCAGCATCTGCCTCTGCCGCCGACACCAGAGCCGTAGCCCGACCATGAGGACTGACAGAGCCATCAACGAGACTGACACTCCAATCGCGACTCCGGACCTAGAATCGCCCGCCTTTGCCGCCATCTCTTCGGGGGTCATATTCATGGTGTTGTGGATATCGACGCAGGGGCCGAGGGGAGTTGCAACGTCACGATGAACAAACGTCGGATCCAGGGCCAGGGGTCGGGGTTCATTCTCCTGTTATTCCCCAGTCGATCGGAGGATCATCGAACCGTCATTCCCATATGTTGGCGCCCCTGCGTCCGTGCTGGCCAGTTTAAGGTTGGTGGTAGCAGACACTGGAATGTGGCTATCCCAGCTTCGTGGATGAATTCGGGCTTAAGCAGCGCCCAGATCCGAGAGACCTATCAGGCGAGCCTATGTGAACGCCTCAAGGCTGATTAGATCGTACTAGACCTGGCGCCTTATCCAAACACAGATGAATGTTCTCGTCATTAGGGAATTACGGGCGTTGCAATGGGAATAGCCCCAAGAAACATTGTTTAGAAATGTTGTTCGGATTCCAATTGATAAGTCTAGTTCTTGCAAAATTCTTCGGAATGATGCTTCGATATTTAGTGGCCTTTGGCGCATCACTTGGCTTTCACAACAACCGCGACATCGATATCAATGCCTGTCAGCAACATTGACCAGTCAATTAAGCCATCGCCTCAATAGTAAGCGCTACTCAAAAGGGCTTATTTGGCTTTCGATGCTCGGCTTTATGGTAAATTTCCCAGATCTTGCTAGACTGGATGATGAAACGTCGACTCCCTTGACATATAGCAAGCCTCGAGATCCTGAACGGACTGCAAGATCCTGATGAGAATGCATCACGCGGCATCGTTCTTCACCCGATTGAGAGTATCTATTTTCCGAAACACGACAGCTCAGTGAGCCGAAACGTTCTGAGGCAGAGCAATCTTGTCTATGGGACAAGGCCTACCATATGCGCATCGACTTAGAAGCTGTATCCATTCAATTGATTCCAGATGGCAGTCCGGCGTGGCACTTGTATATCTCAACTGTGTGATGAGTTTATGGAGGAAATTACCACTGGTCTTATATTTGGTCTACCATTTTTATCTCGTACATCTCATAGGTAGATGCTGATCATTATTCTGAGTGTCAATCTCTAAACCTCCCCTCCACTGAGATTGGGCTGCGTTAACTAGAGTTTCTGGACAAAAAGGCGACACATCCAAGCCTTATAGTAGCTTGAAATTACGTAGATTGTCATGAACAAGCAAGTCTAGCTTTCATCAATTATGGCTCGCGAATGAAAGAACTTTTAGCGACCGTCATGATCTATCCGTTCTAGAACCCTTTGTCGACAAGATATTCTTCGTGCATGCAATCTTGGGCTTAGCCGAGACTGAAATTGAACACGGGCTGGTTCCCAATAGGAAGAGCTTTGTATTCAGCAGAGTACGAAAGCCTTTCGCTGTATTTTGTGTCAGCCAAACACGACCAATGTGCGACGACTGCGCGAAAACAAATTGGGTCGGTCATCTGCGCATCTTAGCAGTTGCCTGAACAACCACTATCACATCACACCGCTAGTCCGCAATGGCAGTGGTGTAATGTTGTCTTGCATTCAGCTGCGCCTGAATCAATACGTGGTCCAAATACAGAAGCCAAGTCGATAGTCCTAACGCATTACAGAAACTCTTGCTAACGTAGCGAAAGCGTGACATGCATAGTAGCGTCACTTCCTGTGTAGCTTATACTGAGCTTTCCATTCTCCTGCTGTGCTGGATATTGTATGAATACTTGAGGTCCTGCACGTCTGAGACACGGCAACAAGCTGAATACGATGTGTGAGATTACCCCTCACTTATACCACTTACAGCGCATTCTGCATTCTGCATCAGAAACTATCGTAATTATCTGCAGGGTGGAATGTGATATTGACGGTAGAGATGCCGGGCCGTTCCTAGTCTATAGCGGTGTATCTCCTTACAAGAAGGACGAGGTCCTCGCCTTTGACCTTGACCGTGGGCTCTGAGCTGTCATGATTAGGCGAAGCTCCGCAAGCTAGAATCGCGACAACGAGCCCAGAACATTTTAAAATCATTTTAAACATAATGTCCTATTCAAACTCAAACTCAGACGTCTTCGATGTCGTGGTTATCGGCGGAGGACCTGTTGGTCTAGCCGCAGGATACGAAGTCGCCAAAGCTGGAAGCAAGGTAATGATTCTTGAACAGAATAATTTCTTCAACCAAGCCGGTAGTTCTGGTGATCTGGCCCGCATGTTTCGCACTATGTAAGTCTATCGCAGAATAAATCCCCGGGGCCTGGCTCATGGAATAGGTACACTGAGGAGTTCATGGCCAAGCTCGCGATTGAGGCCATGAAGCATTGGGATGCTCTTGAGAAAGACGCTGGAGTGTCGCTTCGTTGGATGGGAGGCCTTTTAAACTTTGGTGATAAGGACATGGGCGGTGATACTCCAGAAGGTAAGACACTTGTGTTTCTGAGAGACGGTACTGACGAGAATAGGATCACTTCTGGGACCCAAGGCGAACTTGGACAAGTTTGGAATGATCTACAAGGAGCGTATGTATGCTCACTCCCCTTCTCCCTGCTTATTCTGACCAAGACAGTCACTGCCGCGCAAATCGAGGAGCAGTATCCCTTTAAGAACCTCGATCCCAAGTGGATCGGACTGTTCGCTCCTGACAACGGTGTCATCAACGTCCAACTCCTCCTCCGCACCTTATACGGTCTCGCCAAGGACTACGGTGCCCAGGCAAAGCAGCATACTCAAGTCAAGCAGCTTCGTCCTCTGGACAGTGATAAGTCCATCTGGGAAGTCCACGCGATGGTCCATGACAAGGAGGTCAAGTACTTGACAAAGAAGATCATTATTACCAGTGGAGCTTACGTCAATCATGTCCTGAAGCCCAGCTTCAGCATTGGTCTGAGACTGGAAATTTGGGAAATGGTTGCTACCTACTTCAACACCAATCCCGGACCAAATGGCACTATCTTCCCTAGTAGGTGCATCTCCATGCTGTGACCTACCCTACTAACAGTATAAGGCATGTGGTTCCAGTTCGGTCCATCGGTGAACGGCAGGTCCCAGCTCTTCTACGGCTTCCCAGCCCTGCCATGGGGCCCACCGAACGTTGTGAGAATTGCAGTGGATGCTGCTACTCGAACGATTGACGACCCAAGTCAACGACAGGCCAATGTTCTTGATCCAAGAGATATTCAAGACACTCAAGATTTCGTCAGAGACCATGTCGTCGGCGTTGACGCTACCGTTCCGGCCTCGACTGTTAGCTGCCTCCAGACCAATGTTTTCGGTAAGACCATCGCACTGTTTCCTTTATTACATGCTAATACAAGTAGATAATATGTTTGTGCTGGACTTCTTGCCAGAGAAGTACCTCCAAGGTGGTGCGGAGAAGAGTATTGCTATCTTCACCGCTGGCTGGGCTATGAAGTTTGTGCCAACCCTGGGCAAAGCACTTGCTGAGATGGCATTGACTGGGAAGTCTAACTATAAGCTGGATGAGTTCTCCATCACTCGTCCTGCTCCGAAAGGAAAGGAGATTATCGTCGAGGATCCTGTGTCCATCAATGCGTCTGCAAAGAAAGAGGCAACTCTGTCTCTGTCTCGTAGCGATTGCACACAGTCTCAGGGATCTTCATGCCGCTCTAGCTGAAACATTAGCTAGTGTACTTCAAGCTCACCCAGTTCTACAATACGAAAACTATTGCTTTTGACAAGCCCGATTCTTCGGGTTATTCTTCCGAAGTACATTGCTAAGTCGCCCATTTCGTAGCTGAAATAGGAATAGCACGAACATCAGACGAAAGCGACTGAATTGCCAAAGGCCCGATTGGCCACATTCAACAAAGGGTCCAGTCCGCTTCGGAGGGGTTCATGCGGGGTACTTTTGGTGTAGCAAGTGAGCTCTTTTCGATATCGGACTTGATGACCGAGAATTTTAATCTCCCTCTTAAAATAATCTTCATTCTCATAGTTCTGAACTGTCTTTGGATCCTAAAATATTCAAAAGAAATCTCAAAATGGGCGGCAACAACAACACAGTGGGTGCTTACTACGCACCAAAAGGCGGCTTGCCCCCACAAACCCAAATCCTCACCGACCGGGCCATGTTCACCGAGTCTTACGCCGTCATCCCCAAAGGCTGCTTCAGCGACATCGTCACCAGCTTCCTCCCATTCTGGGAGCAAACGAGACTATGGGTTATTGCTCGCCCTCTTTCGGGCTTCGCTGAGACATTTTCTCAGTACATCATGGAGGTTCAACCAGGCGGTGGCAGTGACCGTGCCGAGATGGATGACACTGCTGAGGGTGTCTTGTTCGTTGTCGAGGGTGAAATCACCGTTACGCTAGCTGGCGAAGCTCACACTCTTTCATCGGGGGGCTATGCCTTTCTCCCTCCCAAGAGCGGCTGGACGCTTCGCAACAACTCTAGCGAGCCAGCTCGTTTCCACTGGGTCCGCAAAGCCTATGAGACAGTCCCTGGTCTTGATGCACCCGAGGCCTTCTTCGCCAATGAGAAGGATATTGAGCCTAGAGAAATGCCCGATACCAATGGAGCTTGGGCGACAACGCGGTTCGTTGATCCTACCGATGTTCGACACGACATGCATGTGAACATTGTGACTTTCCAGCCTGGTGGTATCATTCCCTTCGCTGAGACACATGTGATGGAGCACGGTCTTTATGTTCTTGAGGGAAAGGCTGTTTACCGACTGAATCAGGATTGGGTCGAGGTGGAAGCTGGTGATTTTATGTGGTTGCGAGCTTTTTGTCCCCAAGCTTGCTATGCTGGTGGACCGGGCAAGTTCAGATACTTGTTGTACAAGGATGTAAACCGACACGCGAAGCTGTCTAGGTAGATCAAACAATACACAAAAATGCGGAAGTCTCGTTATCGTTGTCTCAGACTTAGAAGCCCATTTAAATCATTAATCTTTCCAATGGCTTCAGTCACTAGACCTCTGTCGGGGGTTATCGGGGCACTGTGCTGTGTTCCCAACAGGAGGTTCTGCAGCCTGTGGCTGCCGCAAATTGTTGTGGACATAGGTCGCCTCGAGAGCATAACTGATACATGCGACCAAAGGTAGTGGAAAATACGGGATCCCGTCCGCTCTCCCATAGTCAAGCCACTAACCGGCGGATTAGTAGTTGGGTCGGTGACGACCAGCGAATCCCCGCTGTTGCATGTTTTTTGCGAATTGCAGCAATTGCCTTTTTGGTCTTTTGATCATGCAATCTGTTGCTGTGAGGTGCCGGCGCGGTCGCGCTGTTGAGGCAAGTCTCGTCAGAGTTTTTCCTCATTGACTTTTTTTTCAGTGTCGTGTGTTGCTCATGCGTCTATGGACCCTGCTGCGACTGCCAACCGCAACCCCACTACAGCAGGTTTCAACCTGTTCATCTTCCGTAGTATAGTGGTCAGTATGCAAGCTTGTCACGCTTGAGACCCGGGTTCAATTCCCGGCGGGAGAGATCCAGCCACCTGTGATACACAGGCGATTCTTTTTTGCCAATTTTATTGTCGCTCTATTGACAGACAGCATTGTCTGCAGCGATGTTGTGCGTATGCTTTTATTTTGCAATGTCTCTGGACTGATACTAGACTTAGAGGTTATGCACTAGAGGGCTACTCTAGGCCACTATCTCAGACACATTGGCTACCCTGAAGCACTGCTGCCAGAGAATTGAGACATGGTGGAATCAGCGCCTGAGCACCAAAATCAAGAGAATATTCGATAGAAAAGAGTCGCGCCAAAAGAGAGAACAGGAAAGAGTTCCTTTTGAGTTTGTTAAACTTACCATGAGGGGATATGTCGAACTTGAAGACACAGAGCTGGTCGGCAATTGTGTGATCAGGAGGGGCTTAGTGTGACACCGCATCTCAATTTGCGCAAAGGAATAAGACTAACATCCCACAACAGCAGTAACAACTTATAGACTACCGAAGTTACTGTAAGCGCACTGATTGCTGCATTGCAATAGTCATAAGGATATTGACGCGTGCTTTTGTGTTTGACTGCGATCGCGTCGTATTGTGGGGTCCCACCAACGACGCGAACGACAAATGTAGAGAAACTTGTCTCGCTAGGAACTACCAGAACTAAAACAATTACTTAGTGAATCCATCCGGCGTTTAATTCCAGACTGAAATACACAGGACCCGAGAGTTGGCTCATAAATGCCTTTTGCTGACTGGTTTGAAGAGGAGCAGGCGAGCCACAGTAGAAGTCCCGTAACTCAACGTGTTCAATCACCAACTTCATATGTATTTCCAGACGTCCACATATTGATCAGACAGAACAGAAAACGACAAAAAGAAAGAAAAGAACATCGACAACGGCAGGATTCGAACCTACGCGTGCGAACACAATGCCTATGATGTCTCGGAAGAGATAGCAGGGCATCGCCTTAACCACTCGGCCACGTTGTCCTGCGTTCGTTAGGCAGCAATCGTCCGATTGAGCGCATATAGACGTACGCATTACGGAGGAAATATGCGTGAGACAAAGAAAAGAGTGCCACATATATAGGAAAGCGCGGAATACTGAGTTCTGTGTTATTAATTCATAAAAAAGTCTGTTGGTCTTTGTCACTTATTGCATGCACGCGTCACTGCGAGGACAAGGCCGAAAACGAACACGCCGCTAGCCCAAACAAGGTAGGTACTTCGCCACGAACTCAATTTAAAGGAATCGTAAAAGAGAGTTGCCTCAAAGCTTAAGAGGCACGATGCACAATTGCTATGATCAATTCTATTACCAGCTCTGGCTGTATCATGAGTAAAATACCACTGGAGACCTGATTCTTGTAACCAGCACTACGCTTCGGGCTTCTTAGCATAAGTAACGCAACTACAAACAGTTAGCCACAATCTCTCCCAGGAAAGCAAAACACTTACATGGGCCAATAAGCATGGATCTTGGGGTTATTCCAGTCCTGTCGCAGCTGCACCAAAAACACCTCCACCTCCTCACGACTCCAGCCTAATCCTCTCGTGAAAGGCGCCATGGTCAGCGCCTCCAGAGCAGAGCCTGCATTGACGTTGTTCCACTGACCGAGCTCCTTGTACTTCTTGTCCTTGGGCCAATGGTTGGTAGGCCACTTGTATCGCGTCTCAACAACATCCACGAATCCGACCTCTTTCAGCATATCCTTGAAGTTGGTGGTGCGCTCGAATGAGCGGTTGAACTTTCCGGCTGCTTCGTCGAGAAGGCGGCACCATTTGTACATGGTATGGTCCTCCTTGAGGGTACCATCATCGCTGCCCATTATGACATCGACATCTTGCAGTTCAACATAGCCGCCTGGAGCCAAGTTCCTGCTTGCGTCAGTATGGTTCTTTGATGAATGGTGAGATTTGGTTTACTGGTAGATCTTGGTGAAGTACGACTTCCAGTTCTGAATGCTAAAGTTCATGAATCTGCTGTGAATAAAGTCGAACGGTTCGCTGTAAGTCCACTCCTCATCGATATCATCAATCTCGAAGCGAACATTTGGTGGCACACTATGAATCATCAGTCTTATCCACATTGGGCTACAAGCTTAACTCATCCATACAAGTTCGGCTGGCTCGGCGAGAGGTCAACGCCAATGACCTGTCTTGTCAGCGGCTATTCTGGATAAGCTTCAATGGGGCAACTCACTGTCGCCTCGGGGTGCTCGTCGCCAAAGTCAATTGCCCAGATACCGGTTCCAGTGCCAACGTCAAGGACGCGCTTAACCTTGGAGTCGGGATGGTTAGGAGGGCTTAGACCGAGCTTGTTATCGAGAGTGAGCAAAAACAAGTTATGTTGCAGATCTGTGTTGTTATTGTTATTGTTATGCTATACTCGGCGGCATTTGAGTGTACATGCCTAATCTTTCGTTCTCCTCGTCATCGTTTGGGAGATTGTATTCTACGATTCGGCACGTCAGTGGTATGGCTTGTATAGTACTCCGTAGGGGAGCTACATACTGCCGTCTCGGAAGGCATGGTATGTTCTTCCGTTTTCTTGGCGGAAGTCAAGAATTGAGCTTCTCAAACTGTCTGTGGAGGATGCATTATCCTACACCATAAGATCAGCATCAAAGGTCTGTGAGATAATGGGCTGATCTCATACCGCACCAAGTGACGAGTCCGCGTCAGATTGCTGTGGCCGCTGGTTAGCTAGCTTCAGTGGGTCGGTTGCAGCGGGAACTAACGTTATCGTCAGCGTCTACGACGGGATGCGCTTCAATGGTCGTCATTGTAGATCTTTGCTCTCGAATTACAAAAAGCCCCAAAAACTATCGTGGATTATTTGTTTGCCTGTCGATGGGAACTTAAATGCCGCATGTGGTACGCACATGATCCGAGCTTTAAAACCTGCATTGTTTTCTCTTTTCTCGTCCGATGCTGTGCTACAAAACTGACGACCAACATGCATGACACGAACCAACACAGCGTTGCAGACACTGCCAAATATGTACAGTGAAGCGATTGCCGAAGTCTCGCCTGCTGTCATTCCTTGCAAGACCCTGGAAGAACCGCTTCCTCACTGGTCCCAGGTGCTGAGAAGTGGTTCTGGTGTCAGGCATTTGGACCTGTTCCGATTGGCGAGGGCTGGGGCGTTACGGTGTCAAACCCAAAGAGGTAGAGTTCACCGTTGGTCCCGAACCAAACAGAATATTGCAACAATGACAGCCGCTCACCTCACTTGGCACTTGGGAATGGTTTCAATTACGTCAAAAGGAATGGCTAGGCATTCGTCTATTAATAAACTGCGGTCACGTGTATGCTACCCAGAAATAATACAAAAGGAAGGTAGGGGATATGTAATTCATCTGTTATTCTTTCTTTTCAAGATCGGGATTTATACTTCGAGCCAAGACAGTGGCGTTTGGTATGAACCATGATGCCAGGTGGCCCTCTTATTGAGACTCTTGCGTCATGATACAAGGCGCGACTCCTAACACGGCTAATGTTGCGGACATCACAGCTTAAGTCCTTGCAGTCCCCTGTTGATATCGAGATAGATATCTCTGGATCTTGGCCGCGAACCACTCAATACGACGCTGGAAATGACAATGGAAGTGCTTCAATGGAATTACAAGTGGTCTCGCGCTCAAACCAGTAAATAAAGCGGAATAGGCCATAATTACCTTGATGCTGTTCTTGAGGTCACTTCCCGTCTCCTTACCAGAATAAATAAAGACAACAAAACACATATCAAGAGCCCATAGGGCTTGGAGCAAAGTTTCCATCCGTCCCAATTCTAAAATAACAAGAGTTTCTAATAAGCCGAGAATAGACTTAAGTCTGACGCCTCTTGATGCCTACGAGGAGAGGTACGAGGCACAAGTCGCATGTCACTGCTGGAATGTGCTATTTAAGTTATGTTGAGACTGAAGCTCATTTTACCTCCACTATACAATATGGCATTGGCCATATATCGGAGCACAAGGTAGTCAGCCCTTTTCTGTAACTAACGATTTGACAGTATAAATAAAGGACCGGTTCCTGAAAGTAATAAGAGCTTGACTGCGCAGGCCATGATTATAGTACATCATATCTGCAGATCTCTGGGGAGAAGCAACTACTACTTTCCTATAACTACCTGAACATAATGGAGACATTGTTGTTGTGTTGAAAATAAATGGCGGTGGCAAAATCGAAAACCGTACATACAAGAGCCGCAAGGGTATCAGCCAACACGAGGTATGGAGCCACACGCCGGCCATAAGGTTAAGCACTAGGCCGCCAACACAGGACATGACGGCCGGGTACATTCTATTCGAAAAGTCAAGCTCGTAGCTACAGGTTGATTCAAATGTAGTACGTAGATTGGGTCTTGAAGATTGTGGCGGAGAGAGACCGATGGGTATAAAGTCCTGACCGCCTCCACATCCCTGGGCAGGCCATCGATTGAATCAGAAAAACTACGATCAGTTGTTAATTTGCGACTGTAAGCTTCCTCAAAACACTCTTGCTTTGCCATTATGCCTAGGCACTAACTTTGACATCCCCGAGGTCAACATGAAACTCTCTAACACCCTCGCTTTCGGAGCTCTCCTCCTCGGAGATGTATCTGTTGCTCAACAATTCCAATTTCGGCCCGAGGTTCTCGAAAATAATACAACCTGGCCCTTGAGGGGTGCCACACTCAAGGTACCTGATGGACCCAACGACCTACCTGATAAATGCCCAATGCACAGGACCTCTTCTGTTGGCAAGTTCTTCGAAGGCCTTATCGGCGCAAAGAAGCCCAAGTGCAAGCAGTTCGATATAGCTGCTGGAGAAACGCTCAGTGGATTCCCCCGTTTCCCGACCCGCCAGGTCCATGCATTCACCTTCCCCAATCAAACTTATATCCTCCAACAGGATACGCCATCAGTCCGTGGCGAGAGGGAAGAATTAAAGAAAGGCATTTGGACTGAAATTCCAGGAGGTACTACTATTACTTGCTATGAGGCTAATGATGGTGTACCGAACTGCGTGCTCAGGACTTGAGATCAGCTATGGCCGGACAAGATGAAATAGCACGGCACACTATTAGATGTCAAAACCAGGCCCATTAATGATATTAGATGCTTTCGGGAACAAGGTCCTCACAGTGATGTCGCTTGGTTTCGAGGGATATAAGCGACGAACGAGAATACAAGCCTCTGCCGTAATGCCATCTTCCATCCCGTCTTTGCTGAACTGCGGAGAACTATGAAGAGAATTTGTCATTCTGCGTAGCATGTGACCGCGCCTTTTCTCCAGTACAAGTTTCATGGATTCACTGCGATAAGGTTGATAGTTCAGAAGAGGCTTAAGCCTCAACGCCTGAGAGAAAAAACATAGATGGACATTTTGATCCTTCCCCTCATGGCATCGCAAGTAGCATAAGAGGTAGGAGGGGCACAAGGCAGGGATAATAATACAAACAATTAACATCCTAAGTGCATGCCTTGCCTGGATGAGCACGGATGACTAAGTTATATGTGCTAACATGAGCTCTCATCGACTAGTTTCAACTACAGATAAATGCGCTTCGCTGCATGTACGCGACTGGTTTGCAGAAATTGATGATGGAACCCTATTTTAACCGAGGGGACATATTTCTTCATGGCATCTTTGTCTCTTGGTAGTAAATAAGCAGTCAGTTCTGAAGATGAAGGCAAGGTTCAGTTGATGAGTCAATTTCTTCTATGACATGTCTATCCTTGCAACTATAAGCTCCATTACATACAGTTCCAAGAGTAGCAAGTAATGTGATATGCTTCATGTAGTCATGGGGACATAGTGGCCATTAGCTCTCATCTTTGTGGCTCTGGGACGAATCTCCTCAATTTGGGATGATGCAAGCCCTGGTTAGCCCAACATGGTGAAAAGATTGACGAATTAGGCAACATGGATGATGCGCCCTGAGGATATTGGACTTTATTTGAGCCAAGCTTCGTTTTCTCATTACGTTAAAGTACTTGGAAGTTTTAGACTCACCCCTCAGCGACCCCCTTGACCGCATACCCGGCATGCTAATAAGGGAGATCAGACATGTGCTCTCAGACCCCTCGGAAACAAATCCCGCAAACGCCAATCAACGCTCCTCTTTCAAATGTTTGATGTCAGAAAAACAAGGACCAATCGTTCAGACCAGCCAGGGAAAATGCTTTTGAAGAAGCAGCTCCCGATATCCATTCATATCTTACTTCTATCTCACCTTTCGACTAGTGATAATCGTGGCACTCATGGCACAATCCGAGGACCCGTCAAACAGCCATGACACCAACCATGATGATAACAAAACGACTACAATGTGGGGGATTATCCTCTGTGTTGTAGTCATTCTCGTCATCTGCATCATTTGCTTCGTGCACTGGCTACTGCGAAATAATCATATGCCACGACCGTTGGAAACACAGCTCCCGCGGTTTCGAACGAGCTCCGGTCTGGGAAAGCTCGCAGTGGAGAGCATGCCCACCGTGACATATCATCATCGGATACACTCGAAGCAGATTCACACGCAAGCTGAAATAACTCCATACATGTTTCGAAAGCAACGGAAACCAAAACTCGAAAAGTTGCAGCGATATTTCACTATGCCAAACTTGTCGATCCGTTCTCCAAATCTCAGCGACAGAAACGCACGACAGGCTGATGAGCGAACTTCTCCAGCATGTTCTATCTGCACCGAAGATTTCATCGAGGGAACGAATTTGAGAAAGTTGCCGTGCGGGCACCTCTTTCACCCACAATGTATCGATCCATGGTTGATTGGAAGATCGCGGACTTGCCCATTATGGTCAGTATTTACCATCGCCGATGAGATCCAACCAGCTGACAAAGCGCCTCTCTCTTATGAAGCCGCGTCGATCTGGCGACTCTGATCAATTTGACGAAACCACAGGCTGTGCATTCTTTTGCTGCACGAGAACGTGTATATCATTCACAAGCAACGAGATAATGAACAATGAGACGACGACTAGCGATTTGCGACGAGGAGCATGACCAGGGCGCTTCACGGTGTAATGCACATTCCATTCGTATAAGAATACAAAACATCTTTCTTCCCTGCTGCGAAAGCGGCAATTAGTTTTACTACATGGTGATCCGTTGGCGAGCTCATAATAAGCGCAAAGGTAAGTGCTGTATACTGCCCAAAGACACCAAGGACTTTACAGTAGCATCAACGAAGACCAGCAAATTCCTCGACTCTTGCCAAGCGATCACTGATCCAGGGTCAAGAAGTACCCTTTGAATATCATTCTCGTTACTCAATCTGTCTCATTCTCAGCCAACCCTCCCTGCAGTCCCAGAGGCCGCCTGTGAGGGGTATCATGTATGCACCGGCTGCTGATCCTGTCAAAGCTCCCCAAAACTACAGGGCATGGCAGGCATCCCCACAGGGCACAGACCACACTGTACCGCTGTAGTCTCTAAGCTTAATCGCAAGCTGAGATAAATACCTGCTAGCTACAATTGATGCCACTACAAAAGGGCTGATGATCAAGTCCAAGAACAGCATCGTCGCAGCCGTAATTTCGCGCTCGTGAAAACGACAGCGAAATAAAATAAATGCCGCATCGCATGCATGGTCGAGACAGTTCCATGCCGACTCCGCCTCGTAAACAAACTGTCACGAGCCTGTCTTTGAGCCCTTGAGACTGCCCTGCTCTGGGTTCGTCTCTATTCTCCGAGGCGTGCATTATCATCGTAGACCCTTGACTTCTAACCCCCGACGCTAAAAAGCTTGTCTGTAATAAGCATCCACTCAATTGTCCTGTCACTGCGCTTCATGTTCAGTACCAAATGATACTTCTTCTGTCGTACACGCCCTCTTGTTTCAGTCCGTCCCTCTTCAACACCGCTTCGTGCTCGTTTCTCGCCCAGTCATATCATGCTCATCTTGACTCACACCGCTGCTCTGTGCAATCTCGCCAGTGCGACTCCGTACAAAACCAAGCATCTGACACTGACGATCCTTTCCCCGCAAACAAAGGCGCCAAGGAAATTGGCGCATACGTCATATTCACAGGTACAGCACAAGAGTGTTTCCCTTTGCGTTGACGTGTTGGAGCTATAAAATACCTGAAGCTGGCCAAGCCGGATGCAACCGAAGGGGGCGGAGTCATCTCACTTATTAGTGCACAGCCCCAAACGGATCATCGTTTTTGTCAACCCCCCACCCAAGCTTCCTGCAAGTCATGCCAACTGAGGTTCGCTTGGGGTATCACGATGACCGTTGAGAAAAGAGACAACTTTCACCACTGGACAGGCAGCAGATCAAAAGAGCAATGCAGGGTGGCAATAAGCATAACTGCGATTGAGTTGACGGAAAAGAGCTTGGTGAAAATGGCTGTGTCTTAGGGTCAACTGCTCTCTACTTGTAGCATAGCATCATCGACCTCAGAAGCTCGATCCACAAATCCAGCTAAGATGAGAGCTCCACCCCGCTTCCGTGAATAAAACATGTGCTGAGAAGCAACTTTTTGGTGGTTGCGACTTTTTGCTTTCTTTTTCGTCTGTTTTTGATCTATGCTTTGTGAGAGTACGATGAGCCAAGATCTAGATGGCCTTTCCCCAGATTTCAGGAACACCATCGAGCCAGACGAGAGCACTTTGCTGAATGATGCGACGGCGAGTTTTAGAACTGAGACAGATACTGAGCACGAGAGCGAATGGCCTCAACCCTCCGTCTTTGTCACCCTGCATCGGTATCAATCCTCGACACTTACATGTTGCTCAATGCGCTAATTAGACGGCGGCTACAGCATAAGGAAATTCGTACTCGCAAGCATAGGTGCATTCCATCGTTCTGTTATTTGACCTATATCGTCTAATGCCGTTCGCTAGATGATCCGTACTCTCTGGAACAACTGAAGAGTCCACGAGTTAATCATCTCATTGTCCGTCCGTTAGTAGACCGTCTGTATGATGAGAATGACTACTCCATTGGTGCGCGATACACCACACACTGCCAAGATATAATCCGCCGCAATACTGACCAGCGCAGTCTACTGTCTTCTCGCAAATCGAGTGCAATTCCTACGCGAACAATCCAGTGTCATCGACCAGAGCACTAGCATAGCTCGCGCAACATTATGCGAGCTTTTGGCTATTAAGATTCTACGCAACTTTCACGATGACAACCCAGGTCTAGACGGTCTCTTGTTACTCTCCAAGATCCTGGTCCAGGGCTTTGATCCCTTCCAAGGCGCTCCGCCCGAAGTTGAGCAGTACGGGCGTTATCCGCAATGGCCGATTCAGAAGCGCGGCGGCCATGAGAGGAAGTTAACAGCGCTTGAACTCGCCATTATATCCGAGAGCAAGAACTTTGTCAGTTCTTCGGGATGTAGGCGAGTGATTGACGCGGTGTATCGTGGTCAGATCGTCTACACCCCGTTGTCGTTTGTTGATATCCTCCCAAACCACTATGAGTACCTCCCTGTGTCTCTGTATGAGCCGCGAAAGGCACCGCTGCTTGACCATCACCGTCTCGTGGTTCCGCGCACCCGGTACATGATTGAGCTAGTACACTATATCATTCTCACTCTTCTGTACGTTTACACGATGCAGTATCGAGATCCTGAGAACTTGACTGGAAATGAAGTTATCTTCATTCTGTATTCTGCTGGCTGGGTACTGCATGAGCTTGCTGCCATCATTGAACATGGATGGATGATTCACTCACAAACTTTATGGTCATTCTTGGACCTCTCATACACAGTCATCTTCATGGCGTACATTACTGATCGGGCATATGAGCTGGCTGTAAGCAGCGTGCAGAATGGCATGGCACATAACATACTCTGTCTCGCAGCCCCAATTCTTCTGACCAGACTAGCCTTCAACATCCTGCCAGACCATATCGTCTTCATTTCGCTGCACGCGATGATGAAAGAGTTTCTGATTCTCACGTTTCTCGCGATATGGTGCTTTACAGGATTCCTGTTGGCGCTGCAATGGCTCTCTCCAGGAGATGGCTCGATTCCAAACGACTTCACGATCATCAAATGGCTATTGTG